TTTTAATATAACTATGTGGCCATCAGTTGACTCCAGGATCCCAAGATGTATACAGCCCATGTTGCAATGGCCATCTTGGCCATCTTGCTATCTGCCTGTCCGACTATCCAGCTATCCGGCCATTTGGCTATCCAGCTATCCGGCCATTTGGCTTTCTGGCTATTTGGCTATCTGTCTATCTGTCTATCTGTCTATCTGGTTATCTGACTATCTCGCTATCTGGCTATCTGGCTATCTGCTTATCTGCTTATCTGCTTATCTGCTCATCTGGCCATCTGGCCATCTGGCTATCTGGCTATCTGGCTATCTGGCTATCTGGCCATCTGGCTATCTAAGTCATGCAGCCTTGCATCTGCAGTGAGATTTGCCTCTCCTCCTCAGATGAGCGACTTTTTTTTTTTTTTTTTTTTTTTTTTTTTTTTTTTTTTTTTTTTTTTTTTTTTTTAAATGAACTACTAATTGACGACAAGGACTTTCGGAAGTACGGTACAGTTTTTTTAAGTTTACTCTCTCCAAGTTTCTCGTCTGCGTTCCGCGTCTTCCCTAGAATGGCTTTCTGGCTATTTGGCTATCTGGCTATCTGGCTATCTTCCATGAGTGAAATTTACCCAATTAGACTGTTGATTGAATATTGTGGTGTACTGGAGTAGTGCGTGTTTAGTTAACTTTAATAATGTGATTGTGCAGATGATGCGCGATCATTCATGAAGAGGATCATTCCGACTGACGCACAGTCCCGTATCCCGTAGTCCGTCAAAAAAAAGACGTTCCATTTGTGTAACCGCTGCGGTTCTGCAGGTGGAATGAATATGAGCGGTCGTTGGACCAGGGGCACCAAATATGAGCAGTCATTGGACCAGGTGCAACGAATAGGCATTGATTGGACCACGTGCAATGAATATGAGTGGTTCAGTGCAACGAATATGAGCTCTCAGTGGACCAGGTGCAACGAACATGAGCCGTATGTGGACCAGGTGCAACGAATTTGAGCCGTCTGTGGACCAGGTGCAACGAATATGAGCCGTATGTGGACCAGGTGCAACGAATAGGCATTGACTGGACCACGTGCAATGAATATGACTGGTTCAGTGCAACGAATATGAGCTGTCAGTGGACCAGATGCATTGTCAGGTGAAACGAATAAGAGCGGTCATTGAACCAGGTGCAACGGATATGAGCGGTCATTGGGCGAGGTGCTTTGTACATGTGCAACGCATGACCAACATTAATTCAGACCGACCAGGTGCGACGAATCAGTACACAAGACCGACCAGGTGCGACGAATCAGTACACAAGACCGACCAGGTGCGACGAATCAGTACACAAGACCGACCAGGTGCGACGAATCAGTACACAATGTGACCGACCAGGTGCAACGAATCAGTATTGTGTACCACTCATTTGATGGGGGAATCCTTGTCACATTGACGTCAATGAACTTGCTTTCTCAGGGCGTACTCGCACTAGCTAGCACTCTCCTGAATGTATCTGACCACATTTACGGTCGGAGCTGGATGTATCTGACTGCAGTTACGTCCAGAAACAAGCAAACATGTCCTAGTGTGTGTATTTGCCCTCGTTCGCCGACGTATCAGCTTGCCGCGGATCTGGTGTGAAGTTTTCCCTCAGCCTCCAAATTGACTTTCTCAGTCTTTTCATAACTCTTTACGGATTGATGTGGAACAGTGGGACTCCCAAACCTGTGGAACAGTGGGACTCCCAAACCTGTGGATCAGTGGGTCTTCGACACCTGTGGAACAGTGGGACTCCCAGATCTGTGGGACAGTGGGACTTCCAGATCTGTGGGGACCACTGGGACATTCCGATCTGTGCACCAGTGGTGCTTCCCGATCTGTGGACCAGTGGGACATCCAAATCTGTGGAACAATGGGACTTCCATACCTGTGGTGGAACAGTGGGACTTCCATACCTGTGGTGGAACAGTGGGACTTCCAGATCTGTGGGGACCACTGGGACAT